GCTGGCAAGAGGTTAGTTCCTGCTCTACGCTGGCCGTTTCCTGTAATCGTACAGTGTTGTGAGACGGAGAAAGCCATGTGTGTCGATGCAAAGGTAAATTTAGCACCCCGAAATTATTGCGGGGAAAGTTGGGGCAGTGGATGGCAGCGTTATTAGGGCATATTTTAGTAGAAAATACGCCCTGGCCAAGTCGAAACAGCTTTGCGGCCTTGTCCATGTCTGTTCGTAGTCGGGCTATGGTTTTTGTAGCACGTTGCCTTTGGTTTGGTCCGGTTTGTTGATGAGAGAGATTGAAAGAGAGTCCGAACGAGAGACTGTGAGATGTATTATGAATGATGGACGATCACTGATACAGCTTAAATCGGCCGTCAGAGAAAAACAAAATGATCGAGAACATATTTAGCATTTGTAGCAATAGGAATCGCCATTGTGAACATTGATGGGGTTTGTCGAGTGTCTGCTTTAAGACTGTTGTTCCACATTGATGACAATGCAAAGAAGGCAGTGTTGATTTCGGTTGGTTTCCGATGGACTATAAAGAATATATTACTGGTAATACAAATTTGCGCTCTTTGACTTTTAAAAACAACGTTATGATACTCGCCAAGTGACATACATGTCAGTCAGACATGATGCCATGTGAAGTGATGGCGCTGCCATTCAGTAAGATGCAGCAACTATATACTATAAATGATTAAATTAATGTTTTCTTGTCTTTTCCAGGGCATCAGTACACACATTTATTGATGGATCTCTTAGAGTTCACTCCAACCAGAGAAGCAAAAAGTAACTCCAGAGAGTAGGAGAGGATAGAGGGGAGGAAGAGAGAGAGTAAAGAAGGGTGAACCGGTGGACTCTCTCTTTTCCTGTTCCCCACTCCCTAATAATTCGTTTCAGGTAAGTTTACCTGTCAAACAGGAGACTTTAATACACTGGAGTTTGCATACTAACTGTGAGAGTTGTGAACTTGGTACTAGTAATGTAGGGTATCTTTAACTTGATGAAGGTACCTGTAGAATTATGTATTTTATTATATATATTGTATAACAGTACTGAGCTATAGATGCATATAGATATTTATCTAATTAGTATATATAATTATGATTTCATTTACTTTATGCATGTGTATGTTGTACTTGGTATGATAATATATTTATTTTTACATTTCATTTACATTTTTATCGTAAACAACGTCCTTTGAATTTATTCATTTAAGGCCAATTACTTGATAAACTATTGCTGCATAAATGAAATCCAGTAACTGTCCTTAATAATGTTATTACTTCATTAATGTATGGGAAGAAATACTTGGTGAAGATGGTTACAGTTTCTCTCTCTCTCTTTTTTTCCTTCAACAGCATAATTGCAAAATCTCTTCAGACTTGTTGGATGTTTTTGTACCGACACTGGATGTCACACATTCTTTTCTTTTTTTAACAAACTCTTTGACAAGATGGCAGACCCCATTATGGACCTCTTTGATGACACACCACTGTTCAATTTGGATTCCCTACCTGAGGATGCATTCTCCCAGGGCTCCTCAGATCCAGTCGAGGAGGCGCTGAAGTTGGCACTGGGCCATGTGGACCCACCTATGGACCCTACACTGGATCCTGGTGTCCCTGTGCTCAGTGATGTTGTCACAGATCGAGCTCTAATCCCAACACCCCTCGCAGCTCCTGTCTCTGTCCCACTGCAGACCCTTCAAACACAGCAGCCCACCCAGATGTCCCATGAGGTTTCTGTTGCCCCGGCTTCGATTTCCATTCAGCCTTCTCTCTCGTTGGCCAGTAATAGCAGTGGTGCAGCAACGGTCCTGCTGAGCTCCCCTCTTGGAGTACCTGTGTCCGTCGCCACCCAGCAGCTGCAGACTCAGCAAATCACTGTTACGCAACAGGCAGGAGGGCAGTCGGCCCCAAAAATTTTAATTCTCAAAGGCCCTCAGGGTCAGACTCAAGTGCTACAGGGTGTCACCGGAGCCACAGGCTCTCCAGGGAAAGTCACCCTCGCTAGAGTTCTGACAGGGACCCCACTTAGGCCAGGGATGGCGGTTGTTTCCGGGGGAACGGTGTTAAATGCGACATCTCCTGGGCAGGGACAGGTCAAAGTAGGCACTGGAGTTCAAAGGCTGGTTCATACACCAAATGGCCCGATGAAGCAGGTGTTACTGACCTCGGTGCCTCAGACTCAATCGCAGGTTCAGACGCAGCCAGTCCAGGTGCAGATACCTGCGCAGACGCAGCTGCAGTCACCGTCACAGCCAGCACAGGTACAGGCGCTGGTCCAGGTCCAGGTGCAGCCTCAGACACAGGTGGCATTACAAACACAGGACCAAGCGCCGGCTACTACATCCCCTGGAACGACAGCAGCGGCCGTCCGACCTCAAGGTGTCACATTTTCAGCAGTGTCACAGCAGGTCAGTCTCTGCAAGTTTTATTATGGTTAATTACAAAAAACCCCAGAAAACAACAGTTTGGTTGCTTGAAATAAAATAACCGTTAACCTGAATAAAATATTTTATTTAAATAAATAAAAATCTATTATAAAAATTATATAATTATCCTTTGTATAAATTATTATATGAATTATACATTTTATGTAAACATATTTCAGCTAGTTTCCTAGGCAGCATTTCTGAAGTTCTAAAATAATTAATACTTAATTAATAACAATTATATGGACTTAAAGTCTAAAAATGATGAGCACACAACAAAATTACTAAAACTTTAACTACAATTAAAATAAAAACTAAATATAAAAATGAAAACATTCAAAATATTAATAAAAACTTATATCAGTGATACTGAAATATCACTTGTTTTTACGTTGTTTTTACCAATTTGAATAGAAATCTTAGATATCTTAGTTAGAATCTTAATAGCCCTTTTATCTCTATTCAGGGGGAAGCAAAGAGGATCACTCTGGTGCTACAGCAGCCCTCGCAAGGTGGAGCGACCCAGGCTGGGACAGTGACAGTAGGGGGAATTGCAGGGGCGGGTCAGCAGGGCCAGCAGCACAGGCTGGTGTTAGGCTCTCTGCCAGGGAAGTTGGTCCTGCAGGGAGGCCAGCTGGCAGCTCTCGCCCAAGCCAAGATGGGTCAAACGGGTGCACAGCCGAAAGTGCTCACCATTCAGCTGCAAGTTCAACAGCAGCCCAACCAACAGGGAGCCAAGGTGAGTGAAAGGACAGGTCGTGTGTGTGTGTTGGAAGATATTATTTTTCTTGTAACTTGGTGGTGACGGGAAGCTTTTTCTCTGTGTGCAACAGTTTCAATTGGTTTCTGGGGCAGCTAATGCTGGTGGCAGCCCTCAGGTGGTGCAGATTTCTCAAGGCCAAGGAGGACAAAGACTAGCAGTGCCTCTTAAACTACTGCTGCAGCCACAGGTAGGACAATCCATACATTGGTGTACGCTGAGCCATAAAGTAACACATTGCATTCTATTATTTCTGTACCACTTAGAATCTGAAGAATATCAAGTACTGTTTTAAAGTTATTTAAAGATGTTGTATAATATGTATACTCTTTTTAATACAATTTGTCTGGTTTAATTCCTTATGATGATTCTGATTTCTAAATGGGTCCATGAATGGTTCTTTTAATACCTAAAAGGACAAAATGCTTGGTAAAAGAAAATACATTTCATTGCCAAATTATGAGAAAATTCGAATAACTAAATTTAAACAATTGTTGTTAAAGGTACATTTACACAGACTTAAACGGCCAGTTATTTAATTACATTTCTGCTGCATCATTTTAATCAAATAACTTTCCTTAATTGTGTAAATTAAGATCTTTAAAAAATACTAAAACAAAAATGTATATTGAAATTGCATTACATTTGTAACAACTACATTTAAACGCTTTGCCATTTGAACAACCACCCAGTAACTAGACTGGTTTAAGTGACACAGTTAGTTGTAAGCTTTATGTAACTCAATAAAGTCAACCAAATGTTATTTTGGTTCCAATTTTCCAAAAGAACTGATTCTCTGTTCCCAAACATTGTGTTTACATGGTGACAAAGTGCAGTTCTCAAAATAAACTGTCACTTTTTCTGCAGTCAAGCACTGCTTCCAGTGCTGGTGGGGCCATTTCTGTGGTTAAAGTTATCAGTACCTCGGCTGCAGGCTCTGCGTCCTGCACCACCACTACAGTCTCGTCTTCCGGTGTGCGTTTGGTGAAGGTCCAGGAGCCCGTTCGAAGAGTGGAGACCCTGTGCAAACAGGAGAAAGCAAATCGCATTGTTGCTGAGGCCATCGCACGGGCCAAAGCCAGGGGTGAAAGGAACATCCCCCGTGTGCTCAACCAGGATGAACTGCCTGCCGGACAGACCTCTGCAGACCTAGAAGGTGTCACAGGAGCTGGAGGAGCCAAAAAGAAAGGAGGAGGTGGAGGTAGTGGTAGTGGAGGGAGCAAGAAGAAAAGCCCAAGTGCGGGTGGAGGGAAAGTGGTGGTGGGAGGAGACAAGAAATCCAAGCCGAAGACTCCAGGAGTGGTTTCTGGAGGCGGAGGCAGTAAAAGTAAATCCAAGACTAAGCTCAAGTAAGTTATTATTTCTTATCCTCTTTGGATGAGTTTGACTCATTTATGTATTTGCCTCTGCCTGTTTTTGTTCTCACACTATATTCCCTCTCTATAGCACCATCACCCCAGTGGGTGGTAAGAAAAGAAAAAGAAATGCATCCTCTGATCATTCAGATATAGATCTAAGCCCACCTGTTTCACCCCGCACACTGGAGGAGGAAATGTCACAGGTATTACGTGCTTACGCATTTACTTGTTCCTGATCTAAAATCAGTCACTCAGTTACAATGGCAGCCATTGAAGTACTGTACATGTTGGCAGGCATTAGAGCTGCATTATGTGACACAATTTTGAATATAGAGAATCAGAACAATGCCATAAACCTGATTCATTGACTCTACTGTGATCCTGTTCTCCCAACAGAAGCGACGTTCTAACCGTCAGGTGAAGCGGAAGAAGTACACGGAGGATTTGGACATTAAAATAACTGATGATGAAGATGAAATAGATGCGGATATTGACGTAACCACAACTCCTGTGTCTAGTGCAGGGCATCTGCAGTCTATGGGAGCAGAACTCCATCAGGAACTGGATGGGGATGGTCTTCCCAGCATGCAGTTTTTTGTGGTACGTCAGCAGTCTAGTCATAGCAGGTTGGACGTTTGTGGTTCTTCCTGCCATTTTTTTCCCCTTTTCATTACTGGTTTTGTCAGACGTTTTTAGCTGTTTACAGTTGACACAATGCCACCAGTAATAAAGTCATGTTGATATGTGTGGACATGTTTCTGATTTGTTTCAGGAGAACCCAAGTGAGGAGGACGCTGCTATTGTGGATAAAATATTGTCTATGCGGGTGACCAAAAAGGAGGCAAGTATCTGTTCATACTAATTACTATCATTAACTTGTGAAATCTTGCACTAGTCTGTTCTGACTAAACCTTCATGGCATTTTCTTGTCCTGATGCAGGTGTCTCCAGGGCAGTATACTAATGTGGAGGAATTTTTTGTCAAATATAAAAACTAGTAAGTCATCACTTATTTTCTCAGGCCTTTTTTTTTTTTAAATCAGACAATCTTTAATTAAAAAGTTTTTAATAAGTTTTTTTCTATTTTTAATATTATTTATTTACATTTTCTGTTTTTCACTTGGCGTGGTGCTAAATTATAAACATTTGATCAATCAGTAATTTTTTTTTTGTATAATTTTTATTTCTTGAGAATGTTTATTTATGATGTTTCTAGCTCGTACATGCACTGTGAATGGGCCAGTCTTGAGCAGCTGGAAAGAGACAAGAGAATCCATCAGAAGCTGAAGAGATTCAAGACAAAACAGGCACAGATGAGGAACATATTCCAGGAGGTAAGACCCTATCAATTTGAAATTAGGCAAACATGCCATGTTTTGTTTGGTAGTGTAAGTCATATGGCTTTAGCAGATCTCACTAATTTTGTTCTTGAGGATTTGTGAGCATATCTAGAATGCTTCCCTGTGCTTTAGGATGAGGAACCTTTCAATCCAGACTATGTGGAGGTTGACCGTATTTTGGACGAGTCACATAGTGTCGATAAAGACAATGGGGAGGTAAGAATTCATCGACCACAGACAAAATTTTCAAATAAGAGTGTGTATTCAAACTGATATTACATGTGTTTGTGAGTCTATTTGACTGATTTGTTAAAAAGAGTCATTTGTTCTTGTATCAGACTGCACTGGTCTAACTGTGCATGGCCAGCATGGACAAAGTGATTTTAGCAAAATGTTTGGTTTGTTTGTTTGTTGTAGTATTTCTTGGTACCAAGTTTTATTTAATCACATTTAATTCAAACTGCACCCTGCCAAAACACTGGTTCTGAGTGTTGTTTTTTTCCCTCTTACAGCCAGTAGTGTACTACCTAGTGAAGTGGTGCTCTCTGCCCTATGAAGATGCTACTTGGGAGCTGAAGGAGGATGTTGATGAAGCAAAAGTGGAAGAATTCAGGAAGATTGAAAGCCGCCCGGCCCGACTCAAGAGAACTGTGAGATACTGGCACGCTCATCCACTGCATACTGTTTTATCTGCCTCTTCCTCTCTCCTTTCAGTGCCTACTCACCAGAGCATTTTTACCCTGTCTGTATTCTTTAGTTTTCATTAAGAAACAGGCGAGACAGTGGTTAATTATTAACAAGACTTGCTCTTCCATCAGCCTCGACCTGCTGCAAGTGCCTGGAAGAAGCTTGATGAGTCCAGAGAGTATATGAATGGGAACCAGCTCCGAGAGTACCAGCTGGAAGGAGTCAACTGGCTGCTCTTCAACTGGTACAACAGGTAAATACCCTGCTAATATACTAAGATGTGATTAAATTTGAAGCTGAATATAAAAGGAGTTTTAAAGACATCCACAACTTTCAAAGAAAGTTTTAATTTTTTCTACACATTTTAAAGACCTTTCCACATTGGTGAATGTTAAAAGACCACTTGAATTTTTATTTTTGTGCATTTTAGTGTATGTGCTTTAGGTTTGAGGCATCTTTAGGCTTGTGTACTCTTACTCGTGACAAAATAAACGGATGTGCTTTTTTTTTTATTTACATGCTTTCTCTTCCAGGAAATTGAACCAAGAATATTAATGATTAATTCCCTGCTTAGGGGTGCATAAAAATGTGCTCTAGAATCAGATTGTTCCCTCACCCTCAATTATAAATACCACCTGCCACTGATCCAGTGCTACAGCAGTGAACAGACAGTAGCTTGGTGATACAAAACCATAAGTAAATAATTAGCCTACTATTTGGACACATCAGCAGCCTCATGATGATGATCGTGGGCGTCCTTATCAGAACAGTCACCGTGGGATCTTTGTTTGAATTATGGCCTTACTCAAATAACAAATGCAGGCTCATTTCTTCTTTATTACCGTATTGGCCCGAATATAAGACGACCCTGATTATAAGACGACCCCCCCTTTTTCCAGATGTACCTTTTGGGAAAAGGGCTTTTTAAAAACCAAATCTTGTTTTTTCAAAGTAAAACACATTTTGTCTTCAATTATTTTCATATTGCATATTTTTCCTATTTTAATTTTTGTTTTGAAAGTATGGTAAAAACTGGTAAAATGTACCAACAATCACATTTAAAAAAATATACACTTTTGATATACTCAGTTACTACTCCAGTGCGCTTAGTATGGAACAGTAGTCAGAAGTTTAAAGGAGTGAGCATGAATGATCTTCTTCTGAAAGGTCCAGATGTTCTTAATCCCATCAGAGCTGTCCTTCTAAGGTTTAGAAGAGGAGTTTATGCTGTCCTCTGAGATATCAGGAAAATGTAGAACTCTGTATGGTTGGAGGAGAGAAAAATGCATCTCCATAGGTTTCTGTGTAGAGATGATCAGAGTGAGGAAATAGGAAAATATGCAATCACCAGAGTTAACATCGGTGACCGACCAGCAGGGTGCATTGCACAGTTAGCCATGCGAGAAACTGCAAAACTGAAAAAGTTTTCTCATCTACATGAAGAGCGCAAAGTTATCGAAGCGGATAGTTACCGTATTGTCCCGAATATAAGACGACCCTGATTATAAGACGACCCCCCCTTTTTCCAGATGTACCTTTTGGAAAAAGGCTTTTTAAAAACCAAATCTTGTTTTTTCTCAGTAAAACACATTTTGTCTTCAATTATTTTCATATTGCATATTTTTCCTATTTTTATTTTTGTTTTGAAAGTATGGTAAAAACTGGAAAAATGTATCAACAATCACATTTAAAAAATATACACTTTTTGATATACCACCATAAAAAAAAAAAACAGGTAGCCCATCTGAATTAGGACATTTAGGCTATCCATCTAATAGTAGCCTACCAAAATCTTATTAACAGTAGAAGTTAAATCTTACTGTAGTCTTCAAATCTGGGTACTGTCTTACGTTTTAAAATCACAAAGGGAGTTTGGTGCCATCAGGCTAACGCGACAGTCACGACTCATGCAGCTTTAAGGTTTTCTGCTTCTTTTGTTTTTACTTGCGATCTTTACAACAGGCATTACATTACGTATTTCATGGCACACTCGTTTTATGCGCATTTGGCGCCACCTAGTGTTGTGGGTGTATTATTGACATGTCAAAGTCTAGACCCTGAATATAAGACGACCGCGTTTTTTCAGATGTATTTCCAAGAAAAAAAATATCGTCTTATATTCGGGTCAATACGGTACTGTCTGATTCTGGCAGGACTGCAGGCGTAGGTGAAAATGGTGCCGAGATGGTCTATTAATTGATTTTGTCCATGATACACTCTAGGGCAGGGGTTTTCAACCTGTGTGGCGCCCCCAGTTAATTCAGAGACATTCCCTTGAGGATTTATGAATATGAGTTAGCAAATATTTAGCCATCCACTTGGGGGCAATCTGACTCCCACTGCTAGTCGACAGTTAGAGCAGAGTTGGCTCGAGTATCTGTCACGCTTATTGACAGTGTAAGATGATTTACAGTTAGCCGTGTCAGAAATCCAACCACGGATTGGCATGTTGTTATCTCAGAAACAGGCTCAGCCATCACATTGAATCAGGTAAACTGGTTATATATTTATGTTTCAGTATAATTACGCACGCTATACCAGGGGCGGATCTAAACCCTTTTTAGGTGGATTTCAGCCCCCCTATCTGTCACCTTAGCCCCCAAAACTATCTTAACGATCAGGCCAGTGCTGCTTCCTCTAGAAAGTTTTTCATTCTCACGTGTTTTAAGTCTTGTCAGTTTAAACATCAAAGTAATTTTAAGCCATTTAAGCCAATGTATTTTTGGCCATTTAAGCCAAGGTATTCACGCACTGTGATAGAGCGTTTCTATGCGCACGGCTCTTTTAAGCCATTTAAGCCCAAGACATCTCAGTGCGGTACGCACGCGCTGTGATAAAGCGTTTCTATGCGCACCGCTCACACACCTGAAGTGCACAAACAGATAGCCTTCTCAGACAGCAGGTGAATACCAATGACTGTTTTGACCAGTATCCTTGTAAGCACAGTCAGTTGTTTTAAGTGAACGTAAACGGTAAAGAAAATATCAGATGTACATCAGTATAACGGATCCGTGCATTTCTTATATAAATGTTAATCAAAAAGAGCAAAAGAAAAATAATTTGCTGCTTTAATAGCTTTAATGGATATTTGCTTTTATGTTAATGTTAATAAAGTAATTCGGTGTGACTACAGTATTCGCTGCTTTAATGAATATTTGCGTTATGTTGATGTTAAAGTAATTCGGTGTGAATACAGTAATGGGGGGGGGGTTACTTGGGGGGGCGCGAGTGAAATTAGACAAACTTGGGGGGGGGCACATGTCCTAAAAGGTTGAAAACCCCTGCTCTAGGGTTTGTCACAAATTGCGTTCAAACAATTTCACGGGCTCAATAGTAGTTATTTCAGTAATGAGATTAAATGGATTGACAAAACAGTAGGCTACAAGTTTGTATGTTTTGTTTATTGTTTCTATTATGTATTTTCTTTTTCCTGA